TCAGCTTCAGAACAATCCCACCTGTAACATACAGCATAATATCTGTGGGGCAGGAGCCAAGATCGAAAGTAGCCCACAGTATGCAAAAGTAACTCTACCATTGACAAGAACACTGTCAAGGATGTGCTAGACTGGTTGGTGTAGAAGCATCAGCATAAAAACCAGCAGGATAAGGCGTGTTGGACCAGCAAGAGTTGATGGTACTGAGACTAGTGGGTCATCAAGAACCTAGTGCCCATCTACCTGCAGCTTCTCAGACACCAGGTTGGGAGACACAGGACACCAAGAAAATCATGATGTGTAACAGAGACATGACAGAACAGCAAGATAGATCACTGTCAGCTCCTAGCCAGGACAAAAATGAACATGCAAACCTAGCACATTTTTGTTAACCTACAAAAATCCCGGAAGACAGGAGAAGGACTCGACAGCTGGCATCCTCTATATTATTTCAAGGATGCCTTGGTGCTGGCATGCTGGATGGACTCCTTGCACATACTTACGCTTGTGAGAATGTGTGTACGGGAGTGCAAGTGAAATCAGTTTTGATTTAGTTTTGCTTTAAAGTAAAAGACTCTCCTTTCCTAGGAGGTCTCACATTGCTGCCACAACATCACAGCATTATTTCCTACAAGGTGATCAGGGATGACACATCATCTGACAAATGCTGCATATAGTGAGGAGGAGGCAGGTCAGAACCTGAATTCTTTCTGCATTAACAAGGAATGTCCTTGGCATAACGGGCGCATCCCAGCTGAGCTCTGTACACAAACTCACAGCACCTTCTATGCACAGGTAACAGTCAGTTTGATGAACAGGCAAGAAAAAAGCATAAACAGGATGAAAACCAAACAATGAGACAAAGCTGGTGAATTATAAGAATACAGACCCTCAGATACAGGCCATGCAGGCAGGAGTCTCCCAATGAATCAAGTGCTGACTCTTGTGAAGGAGAAATTTTTTATTTTCACAAAAGCTGAGTTAGGCCAGACAAACCCCTGGAGAAGAGGACACAGGCTGGTGGGAACTAAGACAGACAGAAAAGGTGACAGCAGAGAAGACAGGGAAAGAGAAAAATCCTCTGGAGATGATCTTCCCTGTCACCTGGAATGACTGAGGTCTCCTCAAGAGAAGGAGCTCTCTGCTTTGCAGGAAGGAGGCTGTAAGAGATTGTAAGTGGAAGTAAGTGATGCCAAGTGACTGCCTCACGAATCTCATGTTGAGAGAAGAGCAGTGGGGGATCACTTCACCATCAGCACAGAACAGAAAGACACTGTCTCCTGAATTAATAACCTGAATCAACAGTTCTGCTTCTGGCAACCACAGGAAGATGCAAAATCCAGATATAGCTTGCATTTTCCGGATGCTATTATTTCAGATGAAATTCAAAATCAAAGCAGACAGGACAGGACATACTCAGAACTATGCAAACACCGCATGTGTGACTTACCTTCCCCCACATTAAATGCTTTTAAAAAAGGCACAGAGCAGGTATTCAGTGTACACCATGAAATAAGACATGAGAGTTAGAGAGAGTTCCTTTCCAGATAGGAACAGGGCCCAAAAAAGAAGAAAGAATTGCCTATGCCTTCCATGGGAAACTCACCCAGTCTTTGTGTCTCATTGGAAAAAGGTTTCACAGAACAGCAAAACTCATGTCTCGTCGAGCTGTTCATCAGAGCCATAGTTCAATTCTGTTTCTACTCCAGTTATCCCTACCCCAGCTAACTTCCTCCCTCCAGCTGCTCCCCCAGCACATCAGATTTAGCAACCGTGCAGTGTAAAAATCATAGAATGATTTAGTGTAGAAGGGGTCTCTGGAGCTGTTAGTTCAAGCCCCTGCTGAAAGCATGTCCATTAGATCCAGCTGCTCAGGGCCACGTCCAGTGGAGATTTGAATATCTCCAAGGGCAGAGATCCCACAGCCTCACTGGGCCCCTCTTCCAGTGTTTGACCACCTTTTTGCTTAGCTCAGTCTGGAATTTCTGATGTTGCAAATTTTGTCTTATCCTACCCCTGTTCAGCTCTAAGACTCTGGCTCTGTCCTCTCTATCCTAGGTAGCTGTAGACAGCAAGACCTTCGCTTTCTCTTCTACAGGATGAGAAGGTGAAGCTCTCTCTGCCTTACCTTGCACGTTGTGTGCTCCAGCCCCCTGACACTTCCTCACTGTCCCCCATGCCCTTACAGCTCTTCAAACTACGACAAGCCTTCTCCAGCATATCAGGTTTGAAGATCTCCTTGCAAAGTTATCCTGTTGGCAAAACCACTCTTGTCCCATTTGACCAGGTGAATCCCATTCCTCTCAGCAGCCCTTGTTCCTCAGAGAGAGCCCTGTGGTTAGAGAAGACAAAGCACTCCCTGTGACACCAGCCACACAGTCAGGTGTTCCTTCCTCCTGAGCCTTTCTGTTTCACCAGCAAGATAAAAAACACCAACTGGGATCCCATGCCCTCCACCCTCACCTCCCAGAGCCCTCCTGTCACTCTGAAAGTGCCCAAGACTGCCTCCAGCAGTATCCCCTCACTTGCCTTCTGGACATGTTAATCTGGAACCTCCCGTAGAGACATGTGTGCATCTCTTCAGCTTCCTGCTATTTCTCAAGCACACTACACTTGTGTCTACAGCATCCAGCTTCAAGCACTGTTTCATAGGTGGGCAATAGATAAAACTTGTATACAGCTGATGTACATCAACTGAATCCCCAAGCCATCAACCAAACTCCCAGATCCCTTTCTGCAGGGTTGCACACCAGCCTCTTGTCCCCCAGTCTATACGTACATCCAGGATCACACTGTCCCAGGTGCGGAATACAGCATTTATCCTTCTTAAATTTCATATGGTTGGTGATTTCCCAGCTCTCAAATCTACCAAGATCTCTCTCTAAGGCCTCTTTACTCTTGAGGAACCCAACGTCTCCTCTTAATTTAGTACCACCAGCAAACTTTCTTAGCATGCGCTCAACTCCTGTGTCCAGGTCATTGATAAAAACATTGAAGAGCACTGGCCCTAAAATTGAGCTCTGGGGAACACCACTAGTGACTGGCCACCGGCCTGACGTTACTCCATTGACTATAGCTCTTTGAGCCTGACCCTTCAGCCAGTTGTTCACCCAAGGAAGCAGAGGACAGAGCCACACCACAGCCTTGAACTGCAGTCACTACTACAGCACTGCCCTTGTGTGTAGATACCAGCAGTGAGTATCCTCAAGAGTTGAAACAGGGCAATAAACATCTGGGCAGATATGTTGTGTGTTACTCATTCAAGTTTGGGCTGAGACATTTATGAATTAGTACTTGTTAGTTAGGGCTCTCTGCTGCCTCAGTTTGTAGGTCAGGTTTACATAATCTAATTCTTCCAACTCAAACCATTGCGTCATAGAAACTTCTGTTTGTGAGAAAATGAGGCAAAATCCCTTCTTAATCCTGCTGTATCACAGAACAACATCCTTGCTGTGTCTCACTCATATTTCCGTTTGGAAAAGCATGACAGTTGACCTGATACCAAGTTGACTAATAGGAGTGAGATAAACAGCTGTTTGCTGTTGACAGATGCAATATTACACATACAGTCACTGTGAGAAATTAAAAGGTTTATTTATTACTACCTCTGTAGTATTGTTTAAAAACTCAAAAGGTCAAATACAGTGGGAACAACAAATAGCGCATATTAATTAGATGCAATTATAAAGTCAAGTTCCCAGACAAAATGTGAGCTGGGATCATTCTGGTCACTTAAGAGGACACTCAAATATTTGATAAAAGTGAGACTGCATATCTGGCTTGATAAGCTCAATTATAGGCATTATCACACGTATGTTCTTACAGCGAGGAGAGAATGCATTAATATAAGTGAAGCCTGTAGCAGTCTCTATGGTTACAGCTAACATTTTCTAATATAAGCCATTGTCTTCAGATGCTTAACTTTCCATGTTTCAAATGCTTAGGCTGAAATTTTCCATCACTGCTCATTGTTTCCAGGTGAATTCTCTAGCAATCAGGTTAGCAAATGTACTGAGGAATTCTAGCAGATTCTCGTGCTGAAACAGTGATTGGAAATCTAGCAGGGACTCAATATTATCATCTGTTACCATCCTCTCAAATTTACCCCATGGCTCGGTGACTTTAAAAGGCTCAGTAGATCCTGCTAGAGGCTTTGTGCTGAAATTTCCAAATGTAATACCTACAGCGGATGAATCGGTCTCAGTCAGCCACCACCAAATGCTGCCAGACCCACTTAGCTGCGCACAACCCCAAAGTCCTGCAGAATGTGCGGGTCAAATGGGGCACATCAACTCTGCCCTTCACCTGAGGGGTTGTACCCAGGGCTTGAGAAAATAGAAGGCAGACCAAATTTTGTACCTGCAGCTCTTCAGCTGGGTATGTTATGTATAACTGGCTCCACCCCACTGGCATTCTGGCAGTTTTCCCATTAGTCCCCGCAGCGGAGATCTATGCAGTGGATCCAAACACCCCAAGTCAGAACAGTCATTCTGCAGGACACCAGTTTCTAATAACAGGCCCAACACTATTCTGTGATAAGCATTTTAAAACCTGGACTGAAAACATTTTCTTTGAACAGCCTTATTAAAAAGAGGTATCCAAGCCTGTCCATCTCCCACCAGCCTATATACTGTAAGGTATTATGGGCCATCACCACCATGTGTCCTAGATTCTGCTCATCTAAAACATGACACAGAGAGGCAAAATGGATTCTGTGTCCCATGGTCTGGGTCAGAGAAGCCAAAATTCTTTAGCCAAGCTGAGATCTTAGGAATCAGCCTGTTCTTTCTGCAGTATCTTTACCACCCTGCTGCTCTTCACATCTTCATTCACCGCTTTTTCTATTTTTCAGAGTTTGGGTGGTGGTTTGCTAAATTTAAACTTTCTGAATACACAATTATTCCTAGATATTCCTGATTTCCTCATTATTTTTTGCCAACTTTAACCTCTTGAAAGTATTTACCAAATAAGTGACTGGTTGCTGCTCTTGTGCATTGCAGGTGTCCTGTGGTTATCAGTAGTATCCGAGGTGTTATACATCATGCTGTTAGTCGTTGGATTCAGCCTTATGTGCCTCGAGCTCTTTCATTCAAGCAGTGTGATAGATGGGCTCAAGTTAAATGCCTTTGCTGCTGTCTTCACTGTGCTTTCAGGTATGAACCTTTCCTTTCCCTTTTGCCCGAGGAGCAACGACAACACAAAATTCTAAAACTTTGAAAGAATAAAAACTGGGGGCTACAAGACTCTTTTATCCCTATTTCACTATCACATTTTTCACTACAATTTTTTGTTCCTTTGGAACAAGGACCACATGGTAAGTTTGCCTCTTGCCAGGGAGAAATGAAAATCCATAGTCCTGATTTCACAACGGCAATGCAGTAATTACCTCCCCCCAACCTGCACAGCCATTACCATAGCCATAGCCTGAGCCTCCGTTTTCAGCATTGTCACACTGATAATCCAATAGAAAATGAAAAACATATAGTGTTGAAAATTCTTTTTTCCATGTTAATCACAAGAGTAGAAGAAGGCTTGATGCTTCAAACCAAAGAAAGAAGCCCATCTTGTTCATCAGCAAAACTGAGAATGAAAAGGGTTCTAGTAATCACACCTAGGAGCATCCCCATGAGTAATTTGGGGACGTGTACATCTTTCAGAACAACTGTTTCAGGCTATTTTCATGCTCGGTCTGTACTTGGAGCCCTTCAGCGACTGAAGCTGAGGAATTCACTTCTCTAAAAGAAGTTATCAAGTCTAACCATGTAATTAAGTGCCCCTTCACTCCTATGCTGGCTGAAAACTCCACTTCCCAGGATTTATACAAGCAGCCAGCCACAGCTGGCTTTTGTGAGCACTCCTACATGGACCTCTCTGGCAGAAAGAACTTCTGTAATAAAGGTGCATTTTATTCTGCTGTATTTCAAGCTGAAAGAGATTATAACGGGCAGTGTACATTTGTGTGAAGGAGTTTGTATCTTCAGGGATAACTTCAAATTGTGAAATACAGTTAGTGGTATAAATTTTAGATCAGAAATAGAGCTGAGAGGACAAAAAAAATCTGGTATAAATTGCCAAAGCATATTTTTCAGCTTTGGATGTAATCTGGATTTTTAAAAAAGTCAGTTCAGTTTTCAAAATTGAACTATGTGGAATTCTTCAGCATTCAAACAATTCTTTCTATGCTGTTTCTCTTTCTCTTCACCATTAACTGCAGTTTTAAAGTTTTGTAAGAATTATGAAGTTTTCTTTCCTACACATCTTTCTATTTTTATTTTGTCCTTCCCTCTTTATAAGTACATTGCCACAATGTTCCAAATATAACCTTTAAAATTTTACAGGGAAAAAGGATAGAAAAATAGGAAAAAAAAAAGAAAAAACAAACCAAAAAAAACCACTGCTAGCTGTCATTTTCAGTGACAGAGATATCAGAAGAAAGAAGAAAAGTATATTTATTTAAGCTTAGCATATTTATAGTGATACAGCTTAACAGAAATTAGGCAACAAAGAGGACTTTGCCTTGGAGCAACACACCTCTCATTAAATTCATGCTAGATTTCCCTCCTAAAAGTGCAATGGGATCTTCATATTCTCATAGCTCAACATTTAAAGGTTAGGAAAAATTATCCTAACAGTGTGGCCACTTATTACTATTTCTTAACCTCTTACAAGTCATTAAAAAAAACCCACAACATTGTGATTTTGGTATCCCTCTTAATCTTATACAAATTAAAAAACTTACATATGTCTCTCATGTAATATTTATAAGAAAGCATTTTAATTAATGTGATATATTCTATAAATGGTATTTTTAAAAAATATTGTCTTTCCCAAATTTAGTTCTTTAAGCTCTCCTATTACTGACATGTAGAAACAGTTCTGGTCCTGCAAGGCTAAAGATCTCAAGCCAACTATAAGTGGTCAGGGTTTCTTCACTCCCATCCACTCCAGTTACTCCAGTCCACCATATTATCAAGATTTTCCACCTGCAAGCATCTGTTGCCCTGGACCCCAGGTGGGTGGGCATACGGGCATTTTGTCCTCTTTGTCCAGCCTTAAGCGGACAGTTGGAGGAAAAGACAATCTTGTAAATATGGCATTTGTTGATATATGTTACAGGCGGGTCATTTTATCCAATATGTGACCATTAAATGTACAACAAAAAGTACCATAGGCTATCCCCATAGAGAACTTGGCAAGGCATATCTAAAATAAACCAAACCAATGGGTGGCATCAGTAACAAACCAAAAGTGCACGAAGCAGAACAATGAAAGAAAGATTCATATTGTTTTGCTATAGCTTATACATGGCATAATGCCACTGACAGCACAGCCAGGTACATGTCCGCCCCCAACCCTCCCCGCCATTAGGCAGATAAAGCAATAAATGCCACATTTTCACTGTGGTCCCTGTGTTACAGCAAGACTCGCTGATGACCTCCTACTCACCTGTATCAGTGGACTGTCATCCTGGCCTCCCACACAGCGAAAGGTCTCAACATTGCTGAAACCCCATTAAGGGTTTGCACAACAGAACAGAGCAGATTAGCCTTGCTGAAGCTAGTCCTGGCTGTGTCAAACCTCCTGATGGCTCTGAGTGACTATGACATGTCTCAGGGCGGTCTGTAATATTTTATTAAGGTTGAAAAATCAGTGACAGTAGGTATAGGAACAGCAAAGCCCAAACTTTAAGATCAGCACCATAACTGTCAGCTGGAGAGAAATCCACTGACTTAAAAAGTACAGCAAGCTCCCAGTGAACTCTGGAAATTAAATATAGCCAGAAACAAGCAAGGTGTGTACTCGTTTACTGTGTTCCCATTAGGCCGCCCACCCTGCTGAAATATCATTTCTTTCGATGTGAATTGCTCTTTCCACCTCCTAACTTTCCAGTGTGTCACACTGACATGAAGGAGCTGAGCAAATCACCACAGCTTCTTGCAATAAAATATCTTCTTTCAGCCTCTGCAGTTGTTTGTATCAAATATGACATTTGTCTTGCTGAAGGTCCTGCTTAACATACCCACAACACAAACATGACATTCCCCAACTTACCTCCCCCAGAATTGCCCTGAATCATCCAGATGTCTGGTGAGACTAATGAAGTGCTTTAGACTCTGAAAGTAAGCAGGAAAGAAGAGCCAAAATTTGGGTCTGGGGAGGGAAAATCAGGGTCTTCTATGTGGAGGAAGGGCAACTGTGGACAAAAGTAGATGGTCAGAGATAACAGTAAATGGTGACTTTGGTTAAGAAGCAAAGTGTAACATATGGGACTGCACTGAACCCCACCATGGCAGAACATCAGTATTTCAACAGTCGTAGCAGCACAAGGGGCTTTTGGCATCCATAGGTCCAAGGTGTATTTGGAAAATGATGATCCTGCCCCACAGTTTACCTAACTGCCTGAACCCATGCTTTTCATGAGCTCAGCTGGGAGCATCATTCTGCACTGCAGAGGTACTAAAGCAGACACATCCTGAACTATTGTAGCTAGAAAATACTCCAAGCATCAGAGCTGCTACTGGCCACCACTTCTTGAAAAGTGGTTTTTTGATTTTCCGCAGAGTGATGCCTAAATATAAAAATATGGGCTGGCCAGCTAAGTGGCAGAGCAAACTCAATGATCTAACTGCAATCCTGTTCTTTAGCATCACAGTGAGTCAAGTCTCTAACACATTGTCTAACCTCCACCCAATTGTAGTTATCGCAGCAAAATATAACGGTGTCACAAAAGCAAGCATCATCAACATTGTATCTTCAAAAGTATTCCTATGGTGTCCTCTCACCACACATCATCGGGAATACCGAGTTCACTTAACTTCCTTGTGTAACTTCCAAGTGTTTTATAAGTGTTCGAATTTATAAATCTTAGCAACTGTTCAGATAAAATATCGTTGTTTGGCATTAACACATTCAATCTTGCATTGCCTACAGAAGCCTCTCTCCTTATTCTCTTACCTGAGGCCTGTCTGCGATGGGCTAAGTGAGGTAACTTGTGGGTGGCATACCCCTGTTTTGCAGCAGCAAGGGTGGTGGTGGTGCTAATTGTGCAACATTTTCTTCAACGATTTTCTTTCTTTAACTCTTCTCTTAATTGAGAATTCAGTATGATGTAAAATAATGAGCTCTCAGTCACACCTTTCCTCTGCCCATGCAGCTCCCTCCTCCACAGTAGAATAGGAGGCATGAAAGTACAACAAAGACTTTTTTGGAGCTTGCAGAGCACTTCCAGCAGTAGCTATCTCAAAAATTATAAAAAAATATTAGCACAAAAATTCCTATTACAATCCCTGCTTCTCAGGTCTCTTGGGGATGGTGGCACACATGATGTATACTCAAGTTTTCCAAGTGACAGTCAGCCTTGGGCCAGAGGACTGGCGACCACATTCATGGGACTATGGATGGTCCTTCTGGTAAGTGTCACCACCAGTTAATACCTTTTCATTTTTGAGTTGTTCTGTCAGTCTGTTGGGTGATTGTACATGTCATCTCAAATTTCCAGGTACATGCATGTGAATTTCCAGCTTCCAAAATGCTGGGAGTAAAAAACCACCATGGCCATACAATTGTTGAAGTGTTAGAGGACAGCTATCAGTGACTGTGCAGCAGCAGCTGTGCATATCAGCAGGTACAGAGCATTTGTAAATAAACAGCAGCCACAATTACCAACACAGATTGAGCACTCTCATTAAAGTTCAATTTAGGTACATAATTACCATGGCATTTCAGAGACTTTTAGCTTTTTTTTTGTTTTGTTTTTAATTAATGTCTCAGATGAACCTTACAGTGCAACTTTTAACACAACCGCAGAGGAAGGCATAGTGCTCCTGGCGCCATGATACTTCCCTGGAGATGATGGGAAGAAGGCTTGGGAAAATGGACACAACGTTTTGGAGACTGATTTTTTTTTTTTTTTACCTTTCCCATTTATCTTCTAAAAATCATATAAAAATAATTTGGCCAAGATACATCAATTGCGTTATATTTCTTGCAAGTTTATAAGAAGCTTAACAAGAATAGGAGACTGTGGAGAATAGAAATGCCTGCAAACAGCATTCACACTCCTCTAGAGGCCTCAGCCTCTTTAAATGGCTAGGGAAAAGACTTTCTTTTTTTCATGTCTAAATATAGTGTATTATTTTCATTCCATCTGTATTTGGAAAATGATGATCCTGCCCCACAGTTTACCTAACTGCCTGAACCCATGCTTTTCATGAGCTCAGCTGGGAGCATCATTCTGCACTGCAGAGGTACTAAAGCAGACACATCCTGAACTATTGTAGCTAGAAAATACTCCAAGCATCAGAGCTGCTACTGGCCACCACTTCTTGAAAAGTGGTTTTTTGATTTTCCGCAGAGTGATGCCTAAATATAAAAATATGGGCTGGCCAGCTAAGTGGCAGAGCAAACTCAATGATCTAACTGCAATCCTGTTCTTTAGCATCACAGTGAGTCAAGTCTCTAACACATTGTCTAACCTCCACCCAATTGTAGTTATCGCAGCAAAATATAACGGTGTCACAAAAGCAAGCATCATCAACATTGTATCTTCAAAAGTATTCCTATGGTGTCCTCTCACCACACATCATCGGGAATACCGAGTTCACTTAACTTCCTTGTGTAACTTCCAAGTGTTTTATAAGTGTTCGAATTTATAAATCTTAGCAACTGTTCAGATAAAATATCGTTGTTTGGCATTAACACATTCAATCTTGCATTGCCTACAGAAGCCTCTCTCCTTATTCTCTTACCTGAGGCCTGTCTGCGATGGGCTAAGTGAGGTAACTTGTGGGTGGCATACCCCTGTTTTGCAGCAGCAAGGGTGGTGGTGGTGCTAATTGTGCAACATTTTCTTCAACGATTTTCTTTCTTTAACTCTTCTCTTAATTGAGAATTCAGTATGATGTAAAATAATGAGCTCTCAGTCACACCTTTCCTCTGCCCATGCAGCTCCCTCCTCCACAGTAGAATAGGAGGCATGAAAGTACAACAAAGACTTTTTTGGAGCTTGCAGAGCACTTCCAGCAGTAGCTATCTCAAAAATTATAAAAAAATATTAGCACAAAAATTCCTATTACAATCCCTGCTTCTCAGGTCTCTTGGGGATGGTGGCACACATGATGTATACTCAAGTTTTCCAAGTGACAGTCAGCCTTGGGCCAGAGGACTGGCGACCACATTCATGGGACTATGGATGGTCCTTCTGGTAAGTGTCACCACCAGTTAATACCTTTTCATTTTTGAGTTGTTCTGTCAGTCTGTTGGGTGATTGTACATGTCATCTCAAATTTCCAGGTACATGCATGTGAATTTCCAGCTTCCAAAATGCTGGGAGTAAAAAACCACCATGGCCATACAATTGTTGAAGTGTTAGAGGACAGCTATCAGTGACTGTGCAGCAGCAGCTGTGCATATCAGCAGGTACAGAGCATTTGTAAATAAACAGCAGCCACAATTACCAACACAGATTGAGCACTCTCATTAAAGTTCAATTTAGGTACATAATTACCATGGCATTTCAGAGACTTTTAGCTTTTTTTTTGTTTTGTTTTTAATTAATGTCTCAGATGAACCTTACAGTGCAACTTTTAACACAACCGCAGAGGAAGGCATAGTGCTCCTGGCGCCATGATACTTCCCTGGAGATGATGGGAAGAAGGCTTGGGAAAATGGACACAACGTTTTGGAGACTGATTTTTTTTTTTTTTTACCTTTCCCATTTATCTTCTAAAAATCATATAAAAATAATTTGGCCAAGATACATCAATTGCGTTATATTTCTTGCAAGTTTATAAGAAGCTTAACAAGAATAGGAGACTGTGGAGAATAGAAATGCCTGCAAACAGCATTCACACTCCTCTAGAGGCCTCAGCCTCTTTAAATGGCTAGGGAAAAGACTTTCTTTTTTTCATGTCTAAATATAGTGTATTATTTTCATTCCATCTCAAAGCAGAGACAGCCACCTTTGCTAACACCAATAAATAAATACAAATACTTCTTATGCACAGCACCACAGGGAATTATTAGTCTTTCCTTCTCCCCACACTGTACTGTGTTTCATGGGAGGAGTTACTAACATTTTAGTAACATGTTACAAAATATAAATTGCATTATATTTAAAATACAGCTTATTTTGTGCATCAACAATGGATATTTATTGCATATGATGATGAACTTATAAATACACTGCTTTCATATATTTATAATATTTATATAAATATTTATAACAATTCTGTCATAAAAATTGTATGATTATTAATATATTTAAATAATAAGGCATATTCTCTATCAATTTGTTTTCAGTAATCTATTTTATAATCTACTGCAATACTCAAAATTCAGAATGTTGTTAAATGTCTAGCATGATAACACACTCATTCGATTATTCTCCTTCACCTTGTGCAAGACAAGAACCCCCTGTCTCAGAACACGCATCAGAGGCTGGCGGGTCCCTCAGGGCATTATGACCCTCCCTGGGCCCACTCATCCTACCCATGCTCCAAGCGAGCTGTTCCAAGCGCAGCACCCCATCCTGCGATGGCAGCTCACAGCGCTGTTTGCTGTCCTAACCACAGCTTTGGCCCAGAGCAGACGCTGCATCCCCTGCCTGCAGCTCTCCCCAGGCAGCCAGAGCCAGGGCACAGCAGGCTTTGGTTTAAAGACCAGGACTGACCCTCGGTTAGACCTCACTGTGGAGGACACTGGAGATGCCCACAAGCAGGCAAATATGTGGGAGCAACCTCAGCTCTTCCCATATTGCCAAAGTGGGACTTCAGCTTCACTCCATACAGTGACTGTTGGTTCACCCTCGTTAAAGCTGAGCTCCGCTCAAGCTATTGCTGTCACAAAGCAGCTTCTCAGATTTGGTAATCTCTCTCCCTCTCCTAATACCTTCCAAGGCACCATACTTGACTATGCAGGATGCTGGGCAAGGTGCAAACATCATCTCAGTCACAGCTCCCCTGGGACAGACGTGAACAGCAGCAGCATTTTCAGCCTGCAGTGGTGCTCAGCAACCTGAGGAAGGCCATGGTGCTCCTCATGCCATACCAGTGACTGGTAGCAGACCTGTCCATGGAAGGTCTGAAAGTCAAATGCAGCAAAAACAGGGCTTCTTCCTTCCAGCTAACACTGACCCACTACTACTGTACAGACTAGAGAGCTACTACCTCCCCTGGCGTCACCCAGAACTGAACACCTTCTTTAAGAAGGGTTAAAAACAAATGCCCACCTGGCCTGGTGGAGTTTGGAAACTCTGCACATGCAGGAATTTCTTTCTGCTCCATCTGGGTTCAGGTGATGGCCTGAAGCATGACCCTGAACCAGTAGTGCAAACATCAGCATTATTTATAGCCTTCTGTAAAAAGTACAACTGCAACATCCTACTAAACAACCTGCCAGAGCACAAAGAATTGTAACACCACTGAAAAGTGGGGCCAGGGAACAGCCTCCCCATGGCCAAAAGCCAAAGGGCATGAGTGGAGATCTAGACTGCCATTCGTTTCCCAAGTGCCAATAGGGAAACTATTTTTCCTGTGACTGTATTTCCCCTCTCTCAAAAGGGAATGATAAAAATACCTCTCCTCAAAATGAGGAAGGGCTGCTTGTGATCTGCTCAGATGTCCCAGGGTTGAAAACGCACCACTTGGTCCCTGTTATCTTACCCCATTCCCAAGCCATTGGCAAAGTCTGGAGGTTGGTCTGTGCTCTGGCCCAAGCCAGGAGTGGGCCAGGGGATTCTCCAGGCAGGGGGTTTCAGTGGCTCTGAGGATCAGTGGATGTTCAAGCTCGGCCCCTCTAGAAAGAAAACAAATACAAAAACCTGAGCTGTTTGAGCTGCAGAGGAACTTGAGAGCACAGCCCTGAGCTCAGCTATGAGAAGCACTATAGGTCCAGTCCCACAGCATCGGGGGCACAGCTGACATGGAGGGGCATTGCTGTTAAAGAGATCTTCACCTAAGGTAGGAGGTAACTTTTACAGGTAGGAGAACCACTCTTTACACTTAAAAATAAATAACATTTAACCAAGGTCCATAAAAACTGAAACATATCAATCATAATTGTCTCATTATTATGATTTACCAAATGCCAGACCTGAGGTCCCATTGAGAGTCTTCATTCTGTATTTCCTTCTCTGAACCTTTCAGCATTTCTGAGTTAATGATTAGAAATTATCAGAAACTTTCAAGAGAAATTCTTCTCCCTATTTCATTCCCCAGGCACCAACCAGGCACAGTGAAGCATGCGGTTTCAGCTGGCTTCTTCCTTGATATTGTTTAGGAGCCCAGCTGGAAATATTTGTGTTGGAGCTTTTCCACACACTCTGTGTAGGAGGAAGACATTTGCCAGGCTTCCCCGTGCCCGGACACTCACACATAGCACGAGTTTCCTTTCCACTTCTCCACCCAACCATGGGAAACCTAAGGGAACTTCATCACCCCAGGGTTCACTAAACTTCCTTCTCATTCGATTGCATCTGGCAAACGGGTTAAAAAATGACTAGGAAAGGGCTGCCTCCACACACTTCATTGCCATGGGAGTCCCTAAAGGACTTGTTATGCACTGAATTTTAAAATCATTGAAATGAGCCATTCCTGTTTACTTGAACCATTTTTTTCCAGATTTTTCCGTTCATGAATATGTGTTCTTTTTGAAGTTTTGTCTAATTTGAAATGAGAAACTGTTTCCTTGTCTGCAGATCCTTTGCAGAATGGGAAAACAGCTCATGCTGAGGGCTCTGTTGATAATGCTTAGTTATAAGATAATGCTACTGTGGCTCTATTCTTTCTGTTCTGCATAATTTATATCAATGTTCAGTTTGGTTATAGAAAAGGTGAAAGCAAGGAGCAGGTAAAGTGTGTAGCTGACACAGATGATTAAATTAATCCAAGCTAGTTAGGAAGCCACTGTGAACTATATGCAGCTGGAGCTGATGGGCTGAAGTCAAGGGGACCCTGAACGCAGATAAGCTCTTCAGACAAAAGGAGGAATTCAGTGCTTTTTTTGTAGCCCCATTTCATGCTCAAAAAGCATCTAAACTCCTTAGGGCCATGAGTTCCCCCCAGCCACATCTGAACTTGAGATTAGCAAGGTAAAGGCTGGAGGAGGCATGTGCAGGGAGGGCAGAAGGCACTCAGGTGGAAACCCAGTCCACGAGCAGGGAGCTGAGCAGCTCCCAGCTGAACTCTCCTTGCCAGGAGACCCAGGACAACACTTGCTGCTGTTCTGGCCTGGCATTGGGGCAGTCACTTTTTTTCTTCCATTTTCTTTCTCCCTCTGTCTCCGCGTGCTCCTGGTCGGTACTTGCAGGTGTCCTGCCACTGGCTGACCAAGATTGGCTAGCACTGCCTGCACACTTGGGGCACTGCCCTCAGACTGGATCTCTCCACAAAATGGAAGTGCTGTCTTCTATTCTGGTCAGGCTTTCAGAGACCAGATGTAAGCCAGGAATGCTAGAAATGGCCATGAACCAAGAAAGAAGGAAATACAGTAGTCTGATGAAGGCATAAAAAACGGAATAGAAACCATCCCTGCAGTAGCGTTGTGCAGAGACAGTCTCCCACTGTGCTCTCTGGGGCATTACTCCTTCCAGGAGTTCATTACTGCTCTGTAGATTTTAGCACTTGTCTGCAAGGCTCTGAAACATTTCAAAGGGAAATCAAGAGGCATTCAACTCTTCTGTCAGAGCTCACCGAGTGTTCACGTTAGCACTCTGCCACACGGTTCTCCATGGGATGAAAGTTGTGCCCAGCCCCTAGCCCAGCACCCTGCCTGCATGTCTGAGCACGTGCCACAGGTTATTTGAGGTAAGATGAGGAGAACGGGTTTGTCACCACTGACTTACCTGCCCAGTCGCATCCTGTGTATGTGTGTCTCTTGGCGTCAGAAATATAACATGAGCTGCTGTCTTAACCCAGCTCTGTCTGCTGGTTTCTCTCTCCACAGTCTGGCATGGGGCTCTTTCACCTGCTGCATGGCGGCCTCCGTTACTACCTTGAACTCTTACACTAAGACTGTCATTGAGTTCAGACACAAGCGCAAAATCTTTGAGCAGGGCTTTCGAGAAGAGCAGAACTTCCTAGACCAGGAAGCCATCAAGTACTTCAGAGAAAGGTCAGTGCAGTCAGTCGCTCGATCAGTGGAGGTTTTCATGGACTCTGCTAGTCTCAGAAAATCCAGGCTCTCACCCATTTCAGCACATGTGGGTGAAGTCTCTGAGATACTTGGAGAAGATGTGTGTTAAAGACAAACACAAAAGATCCTCCTTGATTTGTTTGTTCTTAAATTTTGTGATGTCCCAGTGCCTGCCTTTTCTTATCTACTCATTAAAACACAAGACTGATGAGTCCTTACAGTATGCATCTGATTCATAGGAATTCATAAGAAGCTATGCTGCCAATGCAAGCTGATTTTCCCTCTCTGGAAAGGTAAAATTGTGGGGATATAACAAATGTTACAGCCATCCTTTCTCAGCACGTGTAATAGGCACCTCCCAATAATCCTAACGGCTGCTGAGACGTTTTCCAGCCACCACTAGGCCACTTTGGAGTTGCCATCTTCCATAGTCACATGCCTACAACCCATCCTAGGCTCCTCCACACAACCCATCCTCCTGAGCTCCTCCACACAAATATAGCGCATACACCATATTGCACTGCAGAAACATCCACACAGTGCCACTCACACTGCTACCAGGGTCCTAGATGGACTCTTAAGTCCTTTCTGAGCCCTGAAGGCCCAGAGATGCTCCTTCACTCTGCCCATCACCACACACAGCCCACCAGCCACACTGCTGACCCCACGCACTCTTAGTTGGCCCGTGTGCCTGCACTGGGATACTTGCTGCCCTCATTCTTTCGTAAGAAGGTTAAGGCTTTGCTTAAAATTGCAGAATGTGAAGAACACACAAATATTGACCTCACACAGCAGGGAAAGTGTGATGGACTCTGTAGGGGTACCTTCGTGGAATGAGGAGCTGATAAGTACAGAGAATCCTCACCGAAAGCCTTGGAAGTAATGTAAAGATATTTTGGGGACAGAAAACACGAGGATTCGTTCTTGTTCTTCTGACCAATGTGGCAGTTTCTCAGTGGTGGAAAAGAGTGGCTGGGAAGCTCTGAGGAGACAGATGATTGGAAATGATCACACATTTCACTAGCGAAGTGAGGAGCTCTCCTGAGCAGGAAGAACTAGAGAACTTCCATGCTTACTACTTTGTTTTGCTTACCCAGCCTTAACTAATAGTCTGTGTTGTTACAGTTATTCCTCTGCCAACAAATTCCAAGTTTTCACTCTACCTTTCAGACAGTCTGGAAGGCTGAGAGAAATGATTTAAACAACGATGATTTTCCTAATTTTGCATTTAGAGATGACAGTGAATTTTTAAAAATTCTGTGTGTGAGAAAAAAAAACCAAACACAGTGAAGAGGAAGTGGTCAGCATGTGCCTCAGGAGAAATCAACAGTCAGTGAGGGAAAACAGTCAGCTGAGGGAAAACAGCCAGCCAAATTATTGAAGTGAGAATTCCAGATGAGAGACTGGCAGAATTGTAAGCAACAGAATATGTTGAGTTACATTAGGAAATGCTAAGAAACTTTATATAGTAACACTACTGCCCTTTCTGGAACAGTAAATAGCAAAAAAACATTAATGGCATAGAGGACAGTAACCCTCTTTATCTCACATAGGTATTGTGTGGTTTGATTTTGATTCCCCTTGCACTCACCATATTACACAGCCCCCCACCACCATTTTTACATACATGTACATCAATACCACATAACACTTTACAGTCAAATCCATGTTGGACTAGTTGTAATCTGAGAGACCTTCACCCAACACGCTTGAAAAACAGGTGAAGGGCCCCAAAGAAGACAAGCCGAATGCAGCATCAAGGCTTTTTCAGGTCTTTTGGAAGGAGGGTTTGAACTTACCTATGCAACTAGCAGGGTATTTAACACACATATGCCCAAGGCAAGTGACAAGTCCCACCTTGGCCAGTAAAAACCAATGGTTTTTTTAACTCTTATTTTATACATATCGTTCGAAACAAGCTCCATACCAGGCAACATGCATACAGAACAGCCTGTTCCTTGTGGCTGCTCTGTATACTGGTCAGAGCTACCCTGACCAGTATACAGAGACAATGATTTGTCCCTACCACTTGTTTTATGACTGGACTGTATATTTTGTTCTGTCCTTCCAGCTTCCTTGCTCATTTTGAATTTGTGTGAACAATTCACTTGTTGGTCACATCCTCCAAGCCCCTCCACAGACACTTGGCAAACACAGCTCAAGCATGTGGTGTTCCCAAACTTCATGATTATGACTTTCTTTTTTTGTATCACATTATTTTAATTGTTGTATCTGAATACATAATAAGAAGCCCAGAGAGAGTGTTACCATGGGATCATTGCAGAGATTTAAAGCTGTGCAGCATTACATGCTTTTTTTTTTTTAAGTCAGCATATTCATGATCAGCTTCACTACGGTGACCTGGGAATACTCTGAGACTGCAAGGAGTCCAGGGACCATCAATTAGCAACACAGCGTTGCTGCATGCTGTGGGTGCCAGCAGTCCCAGCAAGCACAAAACTTCCCCTAGCTCCGATCTTCCTTTGCACAAATAGAAGATAATTAAATTCTCTTTCCTTCCTGTGCATATACCCAGGGATACTTCATATTCCCTCCTACTCCTACATCTCCATGTTCCTTTTCGTATCTCATAAATAAAACCCTCCAGCCTTCCTTCCTTCCAGTTACTTTGTACATACCACTACCCTCTTTGCATGTTCCTTTGCCTCAGTACACATCCAGCACCCACTGTACGTACACATCTAGCCTCTGTGTTGAATAGACTTTCTGCAATAGGCAGTTTTCTAAGAGCAATATATTTCTAATGAAAGTTAAAGCTTTATCATTATTCCCAACAGCTGCAGTTTATCTTCTGGGAGACAGGGAAGAAGAGCGTTAGCCGCGTTTTGCCTGATAAAAATTTTTTGTTGGAATATTCTTCTACAGGCTCCTACTCCCAGAGAAGAAATTTGCTTTCTGAGAAATACTGACAGTAAAATACTGCTAAACTTGCAAGTACTTTGTCAAACATAATATCATTGTATTTCACTTAATTTTAATCGCACGTAACTGCATATAACAACAGAAGATTTACTAAGAGATGTGTTAGATGAAAGAGCTGAAATGCTCCCTTGAGAGCACCCAATTCAACAGGCATGCACCATGTTCACCACCCAGTGCAGGAGATGCAGGGGAGGAGCCACGTCAATGCACAGCTTGCTGTCCTGACCCTCTCCTTTCCACCAGCTCACCCCATCCCCTCCCCTAGCATGTCAGCCTTGCCCAGTCTGCATTACTGCTGGATGTTAACTTCAGTCTCCGCGTCCTAATAACTGTCTCAGCTGTGTAGAACATAGGAAAGACCTTTAAAATCACATGAATATATGTGTACACCCCAAATGCTACTCCGCAGCCTCGTTTGACTTCACCTTAAATAACACATACAGTTATCCAGCCCTTAGTCCGCACATGAGCACAACCAACTTGCAAACAGAGACAGCTTACATAGAGACAGACAAATTCTCTGACTACCTCCAACCACAAAGACACAGACTTTGTCTCTCAGCAGCTAAGCATCTTACTGTTTCTATCACTGGGAAAACATTTAAACAGCTGCTGAAAAAGCAAAGATTCATGGTGTCATATTCAACAATTTTTTCCTTCCCAGGCCTGGGATACTTTGAAAAGTCCAGACAAAATAGATTCTGTAGTTCACATCACAAAATCAAAAGATATTATAGCTCTTCAGATATAAATGATATAACAGGCCTCAGAGTAACTCTAAGCAGAACAAGTAAATGGTACAGGCTTGGAGGTATTATTCATGTATTAAGTGTTCTATAAAATTATTAGTAGAATTATCTGCAACATGTCAGCTTTCAGTCTTTGTCCTATTATTGGTTGTCCTCCCTTTTTCTCTGGTTTCCCTTTTAACTGAATATTTGTCTATAACTTTTGCTCGTCTTTATCAATTTTTTGGTTTATTATATGTCAGTTCATAATAAGTATCTCTCTTCCTTCCCTCTCAATTTCTCTTTCTGCTCTGTTTCATACATTTTTTTCCATATGATCTTGAGCACGGTCCATTGTCTACAGTTCACCCCAGCTAGCAGAGGAGGAACCCTTCACATACCTTTCTGCCTCCTTTGCTCTGAGGATCCTTCCAGATAAGTCAAAGGGACAGGGCTTCTTTGTTCTCTCATATATAGTCCTATAAGCCACATGCGACAGTCAGCTGAAGGAATGTCAATGTGCCAGGACCTTCTCCTCTTCCACTGCCCAGCTGTTCGGCTTCTGTAATGCCCTGCAGCACACAGACAGTGGTTCCAGGACTGCTGTCCCTTTGCCACCGCCTGCTGCCGCAGAGATGTAGCTGCTCTACAGTGGGGCCATGCCATGACCTCCCACGCTTTCCTCCCTACCCTGCACAAGTGTACCTGTAAGGCTGTGAGAAAATAAGGCCCACAAGCAGGGGACTGGGGTAACCCTTCCAGTGCAGCACTAACTTCAGTGCACCCAGACTATCAGATCTTCAGCTTTCTTAGTGTAACATCTAATAAATGCGCAACCATCTATTCTGGGTGTTCTAAAAAGGCAGCAAGAGGAAGGCAAGATGGAAATCAGTAGTAGATGTAGCAGTTTTAGAAGCTTTGCCCATATGGCTGTGTAATAATTAGGACACATTCGCAAGAATTGCGCTCATTTAGACCGACTGGCTACACGGACACTATCACCACATCCATTCAGGCAAGGGACAGTGCAGCTAGGTTATTCACATTCAATGTCTTCCCCAAGTTCGTCCCCAGTTTCTTGCCTTCCTTGTTTCATGTATTAAAAAATCCCCTTTCAGCCACTCCCCACCACCTTTCCCTGCTCCCAGAACTCTGGTGGACTTTGCTTTCAGGTAAAGAATGAAAACTTTCCTCTCTGCTTCTCTGGTATGCTGGGGGAAAGGCACAAATTGTTAGTGGGGCAGATGGAGACCCTGGGGCAATAGCCACAGCTGCTCGAACAAGGACGGTTGTAGCTACAGGGAGGAAGATCTGGGGCAACAGAACGTAGAGGCTTGGGGTAAGAGTACATGAGGATTGAAGCCTGGGGTCAGGGACAGGGGGCCTGAAAGGGTGGAAATCCATCCAGGTGAGCTCCTCGTGGAGAGCTAGTCACTGCCTTGAGCAAGGAATAAAAAGTTAGTGAAGTGATATGAGAAAATCTGAATTACCCATTGCCCCCTTTTACTGTTGACAAGAGGAGAAAGAGTAGCAGCTTTTGGAAATGCATCCATGCCTGGTCAGGCTGCATGAGGCCAGGGGTGTTGAGTTTCATTGAAACTGAAGCCACTGGCCCACCCTGGGACCCCCCCACCCACTGGCCTCCACCGGTGGGAAAGGGGAACCTAGAGATCAGCATAGCCCTGTCTCCAGTCTGATATCCAGCCTTTTGCTCCCTGTGAAGCAAATCTCACTTATTAGGTGCTGTTAAACCAACATACAAATTTAGCAAGTAAATCTGGAAGATTCAGCCTTCCACAGTTCACTCATCCATAGCAGAGCCTTTGCCAACTTGCAGCTGTCCATCAACACCCATTGTGGCATTGCAGCTGATTTCACAACACTTTTCTTGCTGACTGAGCCCTTACTCTGATCTGCAAAACCAACCCAACATCAGGCAGATGCTACTGGTGAAATTCTAGAGTGAACTGAGTTCAAACTGCCATTGATCCCAGTGCAGACAAAATGGCTCTGCAGGGACAGAAAATGTAGGTTTGAAGTGCTAGGAGCAGTTTGAAAGAGACAGCAGGACCAAAGCTATTGCAGCAATAATAAATCAGGACTATTCCCAGCACTGTGAGAATCAGAACTTTTCAAGTCATCATTCCCATGCACTATTTTTTCCTTTTTTGTACATTTCTCTAATGTATCTTACTCACAGCTTGCTTTCTCTAACTCCATTGTACTCATACAAAATGTTGTGCAGATCATATTGATGCTTTCCAAAGACATGCCAACCTTTTGCTCTGATTTCCTCCTTGGTCACCTAGATATCTGAACAGGTTTTAAGCTACTGACCTACCGCACCTCCCATTTACAGAGTCTTTTCATAGGGACATCAATAAGAATTTCCAATCTGACTATTCACCTTTCATTAGCACACAGGGATGAGTGTAACGTTCTGCCTTGGATTTATTCTGTACTTTATTCTGCAACACAGGAAGGTTTATCCGCAGAGCTGTTCCTTCTGGAAAATTACACGGACTGGCACTTAAGTGGTGTAGCGCTAGCAACATACCCACTTCCAACACACACGTACTGTACAATGCTGTTAGTCCCCGACGCTTAGATTCATCCTGAAGAGTGAAAGAGTGGGAGAGACGCAGCCCTGAGCCCCTCATTTCTATTCCCCATGGCCTCTTTACATGAGCTTTCCCCTGAGAGGGGCAAAGTCAATGGAACCGAGTCCTTCCTGAGACCATTACGATCTCCATAATGGGCCTGGCTGGCTATAGATGGAGGAGCCCAGGTATGTTGTACTCTTATTGATTTTGACCATTCCATTTCTGTACATTTGGGAGCAGCCTTTGTTTCTGTTAAAGGTGCTACTTCTATATTCTCTTTTCCAGGACTGAGGAGGAGAGGGCTGAGGCTGGGGACCTGAGGTTACAGTGCCTCCATAGCTGCTCCCCAAATAGTAAGTGACCATGGCTCGAATATGTCCGATACACAATGGCTTGTACTGTCCCCACGCTGGCTCCTTGGGGTTAAGAATAAGGTTTGGAGTAGGAAGCTATGGAAACAGAGGTTTGTAACTTTCCCAGACAGCGTTGCCCTAATGATAATCAACTAGCATACGAACAGTACAAAATTCTCCAGGATTCGATTTAGGATGCGCACATATCCTATAATTTTATGTTATCTCAAGAAGCTGTGACTTCATAGTAGTTTAAAAATATGCTCTAATTTACACCTGTATAACTTTCATTATCACTACCTTTTTTCATCTATATTCATCACCAATTCATGATGATGCATGCTATTGAATATAAAAATGATTGAAAGCAGCTTTGGTAGACAATAACATTAGTATAATTAATGCCATTTCTTGCACTTACTCAGAAAATTGCTATGCTTTTATCCAGCATTTGCAAAAATTCTTGCTTTAAGCTATGGGAATCAGTGGTTAAATGTATGGAGCAATATTGGAGCATGGCTCCTGCCCTGCTCTGAATATTATGCTTTTCCTTTACTCTCCAGGAAAGATGTGTGCAGTTTCATGCATCTATTTCCTTGCAAAGAAAGCAAGTGATTCTCCATCCAGCAGGAGGGAGACTTGGGAAAGTGAGTTGCTGACTCTGCGCTATTGAAATCTGGAAACCTCATAGCATTTTGCTGCCTCTGTCTTGCTGAGATGCACATCTCAGCCACATACTCATGGAAGCTTGGTGTCCATAACCCTCATAACTGAGGGCCCTGATCCCTCATCAGACCTGCTGGAACAGCTCTCCAGTCCCATGTCACAGGCGGTCTCCCCAGAGGCATGATAGTGCTAGCACTGCTCTCCAGCTTGGTTTGTCATCAGCTCACTTGGTAACTCCTGCTCCTTGAAAATGTCATGTCAGTTATGGACAGGCAGATCCACATCCTTCATTTTCACAGGCCTGAAAATGTCTATTAATACAAAATTGGTCTTGGTCGTATTTCCAAAGAAAATTCCCTCCCTGCCAAGATACTGGCTAGTGCTCAAACGAGCTTATCTCATTATGAAGACTGTCCAAAGGTCTTTGTTTCAAAGAACAAACAACAGTTCTTGACATTAGCTGTTCCAAGGAGTAGAAACAAGGCTCTATTGGTCCTACGCCCAGCCCTGCCCCAGGACTTCAATTTAAAGGACACATAGCTTACTTCCATAGGTGTACTGACAGCTCTGTAAAAGCAAATTGCAGAAGAGAAGTCTGGTATCAGGTTAAAGAACAGTGGCCATTCTTCACGATTACATCAGTTTCAGCTTCACATCAGTTACCTACTGCAATGAAATCAGATCAATATTAATAAAGTGACATGAGTGAAGTTCTGCTCTCAGTTTGCAATTTACTTATGAATCCAACTTAAGCTTCAGAATCTTCATGCTTATTAGGGAGGAAAAAACATTGGTTACTGCTGCTCAGGATGGCACAAAGCCTCATAATCTTCAGACAAAAGTCTCCTTCCTGGAACAAGCCCTATCAAGCCATAACTGGCCTGTACTTGATCCGAGGATTCTCCTTGATGCTGTTTCTAGCTTCATACACTCCCACTCTTCTTTGTCGCATTACCCATGCAATGGGCTCATGACCAGCAGAGAATTGTTAATGGCTAGAGAACGACATGAGAAGTGATTTGCTAAAGTCAGAGCAGCCACAAAGTTACGCTGGCCCTTTGGTTATCCAGGGACCTGCTTGTATGAAAGAAGAGGGCACATCACCTAGAGCAGACCAAGTCCTCGCCATTGCTCGGTCAACTCACCACCTGCATTCCACCAGCAGAGTAAATGCTGGCAGGTAATTTTGAGCTCTTTTTGAACTCTTCACAGAGAGGTGGTCCTGTACCAGTAGGACAGAAGGATGTATCACCAGAAGTTATTCCTGCT